TTTGTTAAAAGAATGGCTTCAAAATGTTGTACTTTACAATATCTCTCCATTTTAGTTTATTATTAATGTGTATAATTTTCTTTTACTTGCTTATCATTATAATGTGAAATAAAAAGATTGAAAGAACAAATTGTTCAGAATGCTACTAAATGTTTTTTTTACATTGACATATTGGAGGAAATTGATAATAATTAAATACAATAATGAATTTCCCAAAAAAAAATTCATGTATGTTAAAATTTTGATCTTGTGTATACCCAGTGGTCAGTCTTTTGGATTTGGCTCTATTGAATCAAAAACTGCAGGCAAATAAGCCATTACTGCTTAAACGTTTCTTAATAGCATTCACAAGCTAATATTACCAACAATAAGCATACCAAGTGTTTCATCTTTAGGGATAATTAAGAATTAGCATTTTACATGTTTGAATCTCTTAAAGTACTGTCTTTTATAATTAAGACAACATGGACAACTCTTGAGTGATTCAAACCTGATCGTTTTTCTAAGATAAAGACACATGCCAAAACATTTAAACGTCAACTCTGGAATGACAATTAATTATTCAATAATTCTACAAATGTGAAGGAGTGTTGTAGTATGAGGTCATGTCCAAAATGAATGAAACAGAATCAGAAAGTCAACAATTAAAATATATCCATTTTAATATAGACTTATTTGTGTAATTAAAAATTTATAGCCAACCTTAAGATTTACATTAAATTTCTGTTTGGTTATCAATTGTTACAACTTCAATTACTGATATTTTCAAATACTCTTGCAGTTCAGTTTCAAAAGAAACAAGTCACTACGGAAGTAAATGTTTTAATTTGAGATCTGGTTATCAAATTATGATATTTAGTCACAAATGTGCACGAGCTATTTGTCTTGCTAGTTTTACTTCCCTTCTATTCTCTCTTGCTACTCAATGCATGCTTTGGAATCATTGTCTCTTTAGGAAGTAGTATGTGGCTGCAATAGCAAAAATGAACCACAATGGTCCATAGATACCAATAAAGCATGTGATTATCTTTTAACAAAAAGATTAATTAAAAACCAGAAGTTAATCTTTCTGAAGATGTTTTTGTAGCAATTGGACTTTGTTTGTCAGACGCAAGTTCAGAATGTTAACAGAATTCATGTCCAAAAACAATGCACTCATAAATATTAGCAAGTTAATCTAAATTGCTAGATTGTTTGCAGAGATAGAATGTCATAAGCAGCATCCAATTATAAAAAAAATCCAACTTTTGAGCAGTAGCATAGAACCAGTTAAATGTTGTTATGCAGTGGCTTGCAAAAAATGACTGTCTAATATAAATTATGATTAGCATCAGTGTTTCTGCATCAAGCATTGCTGAATGAGTAAGAATAGTATAAATATTAAGGTGCAAATTTTAATTTTATGATTTTCATCTGAGTAAAATAAGAAAAGATATTATTGGAGACCTAAATGTGTGGTACTGGTAGATAAATATCTATTGCTTAAATATGGAACATGAAAGTTCTTGTGACTACCATTCCACCATCTTAGTTGAAGTACCAATCGTCCTATTGTAGTTTTAAGATAACCTCCTGTAAATATTTAATGCTGGTTCTGTTTGAATATTTACAAAAGTGTTGTTTGTGGTTTTTCAAGTAAAATAGTCAACTTTATTTTGTCACTTATTTTAGACAGTGACTGACTCTACACTAGAATTCAAAGCAAAACTTTAAAAGTAGAAAATTGATCATGGACAATTTGCATTTTAGATTGTTTTACTGTTCATATTAATTATCTAAAATAAGTTTTAATTAATCCTCAGTTTGTCTTATTTCAAGATTTTCCAAATTTTAGTTGCTTCCCTGTAAATTTCTGGTTGAAAATGTCTTCTGACAATTATTACATTTTCTATGTAATCTGTCACACAATTCCAAAACTAAACCATCTTCAAATAGGAGAACTATTTTATGTGACCACGGTGGCTAGCAGCAAAATAAACCTCGTTATCTTATGAAATAGAACAAACTGCTTAAACATATTGACAGAATATAATGCATCAATGTGTCTCAAAAATGTTGAAATGCACAATAGGAGGTATTTTGCAAATACTAATCTAATCATCGGGGTTAGATAAATACATGCCAAGTATTCTCACAATGTAATTTTATTTGGATAGATGATTAGATTACATCTTTTTAAACTCACTCCAGTGCTTAACTATTCACTTTATTCATGCCCAGAAGATACCTCCAAGGTTATTGGGGGTGGGAGAAAGCAATGAAGCAATATCAAGAGATTTGATTTTTGTTTTGCAGAATGTAATCCCACAGCAGGATATAACTTCTGGTAGGATAAATTATGCAACAGTGTAACGTATCTCACATACCAGCTGTCTTGCAGTATTGGAAACCAAAGTGGTATAACCTTCATCATTATTAGTAGCTTTAAGATCAGTATTGATTTTTTTTTTGTCTGCAATTCTTCAACTTTCCTGTTTTAATCCAGGAAACATTCTTCTAGTTTCTGAAACAATGAAGCTGATATTGGATAGTTTACTGTTTTTAGATTTGCTACTCATTGTCTGGCACCAACAAATATACCCAATTAATTTTAACAGTCAGATCCAGTGAACCTTCTCAATGGACCCAAAATGCTAACTCTGCTTTCTCTCTATGCTGCCAGGTCTGTTGTTTTTATTAAGAAAAAAATGAAAGAACTGCAGATGCTGTAGATCGGGAACAAAAACTGAAGTTTCTGGAAAAACTCAGCAGGTCTGGCAGCATCTGTGAAGAAAAAAAAGT